ATATTAAAATCTGTAGATAAGATACTAATTGTATTTGCTTACACATGTTGACCACAAAACAGACAAAAAATAACCAGTTTCTGCAGTAGTACTATAATTGTGTAGAAAGAGAGTGAGAGTACGAGAAGGTAACCCTTTCTTAATTCTCCTTCATAATGTAAATAAATTATTTTAGATCTCTGAAAGAGACACAAAATTGTAACTTGTTTGCAACTTTTATAATCAAGCAGTGAGGCTGTTTTGGCAAAAACAACCACAGAGAATGTATAGGTATAGTTTGAGACAGCGCCATTGGTTTGGGATTACTCACCGCTGACTGGACGAGACATCTGTCAATCAACGTATACAGGAAGAACCAGCCGAAGAACAGCAGAGTCCTGGTAGAAAGTTCGGAGATGGTATTAAACTAGCTCAGTTTAAATGTATTGTATGAATTGCCTTTACTGTGGAATAAAAACTACGGAGTGTAAATTTACATTGAGTTAAAAGTGGCTGTAAAACGTCAGCTGCAGTGGTGCAGATGGATAAGCGCTTGTCGTTGACTTTTTGACGTGATCGACCCGGGTTCGATCCCGTCTTTTGCCGAACTTTTTTTTTTCTCCCTTTTCAAATCTCGTATCACATCGTAAAGGCATTTATTTTAAATAAAAATTAAGGAAATAATCAAAAAGTTGAAAATAAAGTAACACACAGTATATACACTGTTTGCAAAATTATTTTTAATTTTTGTAAGTGTTCATTTAAGTCTGCGGGGCATATTGGCAAATAAACAAAATATTTAACAGAAGTTATGTCAGATTAAACAAATGGTTTAAACTGCAATGGTGGCTGGATGCTGCACAGGTGTCAGGAGGTATAGGCGAAGAGGATATCCACTGTCCCAGGAGCCAGCTATCACCAAAGCCACCCTCTTCAAACCACGTCTATAAAACTTCCAGCAGCATAATAATGCAGTGTAGCTAACAACTGCACCGCTGAACTTAAGGCATTGTTTCTTCTTGTTGCACTCTGAAGATGCATGGTTTCACAACCTGTAGTAGTTTAAGGATCTTGGCCCTTTCTTAAGATGGCATCATCAGATAGTGAGTCAAGGGGGGTAAAATGTGTCCCTATGCAGGCATTTATTATACACTGCCTGACTTATGCGTCGCCTTCTGTGTCAGAGGACGTTACTCAGCACACGAGGAGGCCTCAGATGAAGGTGAATCAGGGCAAGAGAGCAAGAGACAAGGACCCTTTGGTGATTTTGAAGGCCCAGGCTGGAGAAGGCCTGATGTTGAAGGGCCAGACTGGAGAGGGCCTGATGTTGGAGGCCTGAACTTTGAAAGCAAAGGCCTGGTTGATGCACATGCATCTATACCTCCAAGAATCCCTTCCAATGGTTCAGGCCCCAGGATGGCCAAAACTTTATCTTCCTCTGTAGTGAGAGGAGGAACTGAATTGATACCCCCACCAGTCTTATTTGCTTCCCTCTTACATGCCGCAGCCCTCCGTTTTGTCACACTTGCGAAGTCCCTCCACTTATTCCTGACTTCTTCTGGGCTTCGTTCGTACCCATAGCCAGCAGCATTTATTTTTTGAGTGATTTCTGCCCAGATTTTCTTTTTGTCAGCATTTGTAATGCTGTTTTTCAGCTTTGAAAATAGCTGGATTTTATTATTTTCCACCTCCTCCAAAAGAACTGCAATTTCATGCTTTGAAAATTGGGGTTTTCGTGTCATTTTCATTAACACAT